TGTGTGTGTGTGTGTGTGTGTGTGTGTGTGTGTGTGTGTGTGTGCGCGCGCGCGCGGCCAGTATCTCTATTTGGTGCCGAATATAATATTATGTAAGTTGCGTAGAAGATGCATCAACATAAAGAAAAATGAAAAACAGACAAACAAACAAACAAAAAGCAATAACGGAAACAGGAGAGTAGTATGGATGATGATGATAGTGATGATGATGATGATGATGATGACGACCAAATTGCTGGGAACGATGTGTGGGATCAATCTTGCTGTTAGCTTATTTCTTTATTTGGTGTCTACACCAATTCCCTCAAGCTAACCTAAAGGCAAAGGACATAACTTTCATTCTCCATTCTGTCCCAGTCCCGGACATTTAATAAAGGTATGCCGAGATATGACACTGGGCCCCAAGTGACGACATTCAGTGTGTTTGTTTTTGATAAGCTTAAAGAATACTTTCCACCACTAAATGGTTATGCGAGTGGGCTTGAGTTGTGTTGTACGGGGTGCCCACTAAGTATGGCCGAGCGCCAGACTCGGTCGCTTCAAAAACAAACGTGTTTGTTTTTAGTTCCAGGCGACCGAGTCGGGCGATCGGCCTGACCCTGCCGTAGTGGGCACCCCGTATAATGCACAACTTTCAAAATTGACTGATCTCAACACTAAACACGACGACCGGCGTGTGTGACAAAAATAGATTGCAGTAAATAGTTCTGGGCACCTTCGACCTTCGACTACGTAACAGTACCTGTCATTGTCAACGCAGGCTGACTGAATGTTTGGTAGAGGCACCTTTAAAAAGTTTTTAAGAAAATGTGTTATGTGTATGATATTGTGTGTCACGAAGAGGTGGAATCAGGAACTCGTCAGTGTTTGAGCACATGGGGTTTGTGCTGTCATCTTACTTAAAGCTTGTTTGTCTTACTTTTGATGAATGGAAATAGATTTAATACCCATATGTCTTGACTAGAATAAAGGATATTAATTTGCGATTGAAGCGGGTAGGGACGCCTGGAGCCGGAGGTAAACTTAATGGGAAAATGGCCACCAAAGTTTGGTGACTTTCAAAGATTGAGAGTCCTTGGAAACTGTAACTCTACAATGTATGTGCTTTCGGTCAGTGCTTTTCAGTAAAACCTCAGGAAAAGTTGCCATACCACTCAGTCTCTTGGGGCATCATTCTTTAAGGTAGCCTTTGTCCTGCTTTTTTCACATTAGGACAAGGAAAACATTGCGTGTATTTCAACCATAGTTGTCTCACTAACTTTATTTCTGACTAGAGGCAACCCCAACCTTCTTCAATCGGAAATACCTTGTCTTCTATTGAAGACCGACATGTATTTTTAGTGGGTTTTTGTTTCTTTTGTTTTTTGTATTCAAAAGCAAAGAGGCTGAAACGACTTTACGATTAATCCAATAACTCAGTGTTCCCAAAAGTTGACTATAGCGCTTGATTCTACTGCTTTGTGACACAAATTGGTGCTGTGCAGATTTTAAAAGCTGTTAACGTCTCTGATGCTGATAGGGGCACACAGGAAGTCTATTAGATCTAGCAATCAAGACCGTTAGCAAATATGAGCCTAAAAATATCGTACTAGGAATTCAAACCAGGACCATCCCCTTCTCATCCGAGCATGATGCAAACTAACGTAGTGTTGAGCTTTAAAGCTCAGTTTTTGTGAGGATCTTTGAGACTGGATCCAGCCGAAGGGTTTTTCCCTTTCCCCCGCCTCTCCCCCTGACACAAAAACTAAGAACCCCGCCCCACCAATGCAAAGAAGATGAAGAGCATAAGATCGTGTGAAGTAGGTCATGAGTTGATCGTAAGCTACGGCACACGGCTGCAATGAGGAATAAAAACGAAGAGAAGTTCTGAAGCATTTTTGTAAAGTCGCACGGTTGCATAACTTTGGTCATGTGTTGTGGTAGCGCGGCTAGACGAAACTTCTCTTCTTTTTTCCGTTCTGTAGGAGAATGGAGTTATTAGATCACGTCCCTCGTACTCCCCCCCCCTCCCGTCTCTCTCT